TTTCATACAATGTATATATCTCACTTCACCTGTTCTTGTTGCTTTTCATGTCGATTAATCCCTAGTGACCAGGCTTTCCACTATGATCCTCTCCTTGATGGGCTTGGAGTAAAGTTGTGCCTCAACCCTTTTGATGGAGTGTTTCCAGACCTTAAAACAAGTCCTTTTTCTTAATAACCTCGAAATGGAATGATGGGAATATTCCAACTTGAGAGTTCCATTTTAGAGGAAAGATATTACCACTATTATTATCTCGAAAATATGGATTTGCTTCTCTAAGAAAATTGGAGTAATTTCTCTCCGATCACTTCAAAAGAGGATGGTGACAAACGGTCAAACTCTCCTTGCCTTTTTCATTTAATTCAGTGTAATATGGCTTAATGGGAGTAATTTGAGAGTTGGATCTTTGCAGCTACCTGCATGTGACATGTTAATCAAACCAATTAACTCACTCATTAGGTGACAAAAATGTATAATCACATAACTCTGTCTCTGATCATTGGCATTGCTTCCCTTCCTGTTTCGAGTCAAACCGAGTTAAAACATGACACAAGATAAGGTAGACAGACACTTGATTAAACAGCTTATGTTGGTATTTGAAAAATATGGTTTTAATTGTAGTGACGAGAGAGACCTTAGTGAAGGGGTATTATGTGATGGAAATCCAGAAGGGGCGTAAATCCAGAGTTTCCAGAGAAACTTTTATACAGCATATTGACCAAAACTTGGATAGGAACAGCAGAAGAAAAGTCATGAAAAGCACATGGCATGTAAAAATGATCACTCATATTACATGTTTCCTTCATGGTTTTCCTTTTCAATTTTTAAGATTCCATATACTTTTTAGATGGTGAAGCTACAGTGATGGTAGTGCACGGGCACCCTCATGTTTTTTTTTCTTTGAACCTAATGATACCATAGCAGAAGAAAAGTAACTGATCCACCAAAACCACCAAATGAAAATGGCTGCCAAGTATGAATCACTCTTTTTCTTCTCTTCCTACATTGTGACATAGAAGGAATGTTGCCAACTTTCATGCATCTAGACTGTGAGGAGGCTTCAAAGAGATTTTTAATTGAAAGATTGATTATTATGAATGGAACATATGCACGACGACTCACATTGTTTGAAGAGATCAAGAGAAACATGTAATTAATTAATTAATTATTTTGAGCACAAAACCATACCTAACACGATACATGGAAATCACTAATTGAGTGGAGTGGACTGACTAAGAACTTTGAATTACCGAGTTAGAAGAATCTGTCTGTGTAAGTGTGAACACGATTTCATTTTGAAGGACAGTAGAAGGTGGGGGCTTTGGATCATTGTAATAAACATTGACTGAGTAGAAAGAAAAGGACAAAAGAAAAAAAGAAAGCAAGCCAAGGGCAAAAGGAGCTAACAAATACTTAAATCCAACCACAGATTTCATTATTTAAATCATTGCCTGAGGATTAAAATATAGTTAACAGTTGTGTTGCAAAACCATAGGTGGTAATCAGCAAGCTGTGTTTGTTGATGCTGGACAGTTCACCTTGCATACCCTAAAAAGTGGTAAAATATTGCCAAAATGCACTTTTCCCTAACTTTTGAGAGGAAGGGCGTATTCTCGAAACCAAGTTTCAATGGAAATCATCAGACATGGGGATTGCCAGCGATCAAAGTTCATTTTGCTTCTATGTACACAAGTGTTTCACAGATCAATCTTTTTGGGTTTCTTCATTGATGGTTAAAACCAAATCAAACACAGAATCAGGCCTTGCTTGCGGAATGCTGGCATGATCCTTTCACTGCAGATTTGTCCCATGCAGGTGCTTGGAAAACAGGGAAGCAACAGCATATATAAACGTATAAATGCAACAGTAGGATTAATGAGCCAACTGGCTGGCTGTATGCAGACAAACAGATAAAAACACATTTTTTCTGGAGCAGGAAACATCCAGTGAAAGTTTACCAGATTATTATACCCGTCATGTTCTTCAATGGTCCCTCCACTGATCCACTCAATGAGACGCGTTTTGCTTGTCGATAAAACTAAACAACGAAGTAGAATTCAATTAAAGGGGGAATTTTCCATGGACTCTGGCATTTACCTCGTGTACTGATATTGTTTTTGTCCTGGTCCGGAGTAGAAACTAGACAGGCACTTGACCGGACAAAAGCAAAAAAAGGGTTCTCTCTTGTAATAAATTACCTCATGATGGATGATAATAAGTTGACAAAAATAAAGGTGAAGTAGCTAATGACGACAGGCATGAATAGCAAGAGGCTTTGAGAGCGTTAACTTTTAACCTCAGGGATGGGGAATAGGAATATGAATGGCTATAGAGACAAGGAGACATTGATTAAAGTGGAATAAAAGTGGGGATGGGAAACATGATAAGCATAATTATTTATTAATCACATAGGTTTGAGTATCCTAAATCGAATTTGTGCCCTACCAACCCTTCTAACCACATTCTTTAGTCCCAAAAGCATATGATGATCCATGAGGATTTGAGCATAGGTGAAATGTTGATGACAAATACAAATACTACGTGGCAATCTCACCCGTCTCCTCCGGCCTAATGGCTCCTCCACCTCCTTCCCACCACACTTGTCGAAGCCTCATTAGCCTGTCCTCAATCTCTGATTGGCCAATGGAATGGTCGAGATGACACTGACTTGGCAGTAATCGTGTCGAGTTTTTGATTCATGATTTTACCGAAGAGCATGGAAAGGTGACTATGGGAGCCACGCCTCGCCGCCCCTTTGATCTCTTTGATGACAAGCTGCTCCCATGATTAAAGGTTCCAAACATTGTTTGACCATCAAAAGAGCCTTTCTTGCATTCCACAAATGTAGCATCCAACGGACAAGAGAGGCCCCATGTTTGGGAGACCTTCCTTCCTTCTTACGTGTAATGGGCTATATTCATTCTCCCACAAAATCATTAAGATCACCCTAAACCCTAACCTAATTAACATGTTTCTTTATTCGCGGTCGGTCTCCTTCTAGAAAAACGTCCAAGCTTATATATAAATAATTAATTCAGGATTAGGGCTCTATCTAGTTCAAACTTTCACCCTTTCACACCATAAGCTAGAGGATAAGTGAGTGCAATATCTATTCAAAATTTCATAATCTTTGGTTATGGTTATAGTATAATAATAATAATAAACTCTAAGATTAAGATGCCTTAGAGTCCTAAACTCCCAATTAGGACAGCTGTTGGATTCATGGCTATTTCTTTTGAGGATGTGATTTGTCGAAAAAGAGCAAAATTGTGGCTTTTAACCCTGCTTCAATCATATCACTTTTGTTGTTTAGGTCTTTTTTGGCCTCTTGTTTTAGGTCATTTTCATTTCAATTTTCCTTTTTTTTTTTTTTCACTTTGTAAGATATCCAAGTTTTCTTTACCTACTGCAACTTCAACTAATGGAAAGTATGATCCACAGTATGCAAGATTTTTCCTTGGTAGAAAATCTCACATTGGATGACTAATTACTATCTTTCGAATCAAACAAGTATACCTCTCTCTTAACTCAAGAAGCCATGAGATAATACTTCTCTTATATTTCTTTGTTTTCAGAAACTACATGCATATCAAGTTATTGCATGTTACAAACTGACTTTGATTAAACAAGTGTGAATATATATCTAATGGGTTGAAACAATTGCAAGGAGTGATGAGTACTATATATAGATTTTGTATTCAAGTAGCTACGTAAGGTACAAGTACTGGCCTATTTCTTAAAATGGTCTATATGTAGATGTTGCTCAGTCAGACACCAGACGAAAGGGGTAAGGAAAGAGACAAAAGAGGGAGGAATGTGATAGATATATAGAATTTTCTATAGGTTGGGAGTTGGGAGTTGGGAGAGAGAGAATCTAGGGACTAGGGAGAGTGTCCATATATAATTCAAAGGCTCTTGTACCCATGATCCTACTTGCTGCTTTCATCAATGGAATGACCCCTATAGCCCTCGCCAAGCCCCCAAACTCTATCATTGATCTCTGTTACATTAGGCCGGGGAGGGGTGAGAAGGTTGTAGTTATGGTATGAGGTCTATGTTGAAGGCTGAATATGGTGTTTTCCCCTTTCCAATAATATCTCACCAACAGAAAAATGATGGGCACGTCGTAGCTAGCCAACGAGAGCTTGGCTGAGGTGATAACCGATAGAAATCCTACAGTATTGTGCATACACAAGTTGTTTGCAAAAAGGGAGGAAGAAGCAATAATTGCGCTACTGTAATGTAATCTAATCGCATTCTAAATCATATAAACAAGAGAATCATTCAAGCTTTGTCCAGTTGCTGGATATACCAAAGGCAAAGGATTGAAAAAACAAAACTGAAAACAAATTAACAGCAGATTGCCAAAAGAATGGGCCTTTTCTGTGCCTGCCCAAAGCTGTCATCCCCTGGTTCATTTCTTTGCATTGCGTTCCAAAAGGGGTCCCAATGTGACCAATCATAGAGCTTCCACCATAAAGCACATAAGCACTTGAAATTCACGTGTTCCAGGGTCCCCTTGATACCCCACTTGGCCATCTCTCAAATGAATCAAGGCCTGCCCCGGCAGTCCCTCTCATCCAAATCTGAAAATAGATACGTGATGTCTACATTAAGAGAGTGATGGATTCAAGGAGAAGCACTCAATATTCATATCGTTCATGGGAGTGAGATTGGGGCCATGGGCAAGGCAATACCCCGGCCTGACATAAGAGGCAGAGAAACAAGAGCAATTCGACTCCCTGAGCAAAGCCATTGCTTGTTATTCTAAAAAAGGGGAAAAAAAAAGGAATCCTTAAACATAAAGGTTAATTGGAAAAAAATTTTGGAACATGTTTGTCTTTAGTGGAAAAGGTGGGATTGTGGTTGCAACTGTTTGAAAAAGGGCAAAGATCTGTGAAAATCTTCTTTCTTGTGACTTTTTCTCTTCAACTTGGCTTATGTGGGATGGCTTCTCTCATAAACAAAAGAGCCCAAAAAGGAGAACTGAAAGAAAATCCTAAAACTCTTCCACCCAAGAAGGCAGTCTTCATACGGATTCTAACAACCGAAGATAGGTTGACTCGGCCACCTAAATCTTCCTCTTTAAATTCCCCCCCTCACTTCTTCACTTCCTTGGTACTTCTACACCTCTCCTCTTGCTTTTGCCTTTGCTTTTGCACATAAATAGGAGACTCCAAGCCTTTCGTCCTCGATTCCCTCCAAAAAAAAATACGAAACGAAGATATCATGAGCTACACACTTGTTAGCTTTCCCAGAAAAACGAACATGCTTTTCTTAAAAAGCTTCATGATCTTATTCCTCAGCTGCATAACCATTAAAATCAACCTCTGCTTTCCCAGCATTCCTTCTTCACTAAAAACACTTTCCATCGATGGACATTTCAATTTTGAAGAAGTTGACCATGCAGCGAAAGATTTCGGCAATAGATACAGGTTCCTTCCGTTGGCAGTGCTACACCCCAAGTCTGTTTCTGATATTGCCACCACGTTGAAGCATATTTGGCAGATGGGTCCTCGTTCAGAACTCACAGTTGCAGCTAGAGGCCATGGCCACTCACTCCAGGGTCAGGCACAAGTCCACCGAGGAGTTGTGATCAACATGGAATCACTCCAAGGCCCTAAAATGCAGGTTCACGCTGGGAAATTCCCCTACGTGGATGTTTCCGGTGGTGAGTTATGGATAAATATCCTGCGTGAAAGTCTGAGACATGGGTTAGCACCAAAATCCTGGACAGACTACCTGCATTTAACGGTTGGCGGGACTCTGTCCAATGCTGGGATCAGTGGACAAGCATTTCGTCATGGACCGCAGATCAGCAATGTTCACCAACTGGAAGTTGTTACAGGTTTGTTAAAATAAAATTCAAGGACAATCATATGCTGACAAATTCAGCATTAATAAGACCAGCATCCATGATATGCATAAGAGTGACACTTAGGCAACTTATCAGAACAGTAACTTTATATTTGTCTTGTCTAATTTAAAAATTCATTCAAAACTGAAAGTCTAAGTGGTTGGTAGCTTCTTCCATAATGCATGTTGTAACTTCACCCATGTTCCGTAAAACATGCTTAGACAATTGGTTATCAATTAGTTTCTAGAGGAAAAACAAAGAAGTAACGTCATGGTATATAAACTGATGTATGGACTGTACTTGAGTGCAGGGAAAGGAGAGGTGGTGAATTGCTCAGAGAAGCAGAACAGCGACCTCTTTTACAGTGTTCTTGGAGGACTTGGTCAGTTTGGCATCATAACACGGGCAAGAATATCCCTGGAACCGGCACCTGAAATGGTAAACATGGCAATCATTAAGCTGGAAGACAATTTCCAAAATGTCTTTGGTTTAGTTTGAAAGTACACTTCTTATGACAATTCTCCCTCTTGAACAGGTGAAATGGATTAGAGTGCTGTACACCAATTTTGCCACATTTGCCAGGGACCAAGAGAAGCTAATTTCTGAGGAGAGCACGTTTGACTATATTGAAGGATTTGTGATAATAAACAGGACTGGTCTATTGAATAACTGGAGATCATCTTTCAATCCACAAGACCCTGTACAAGCCAGCCAATTCAAGTCGGATGGAAGAACTCTCTTCTGTCTAGAATTAGCAAAGTACTCCAATCCAGAAGAAATGGCTGCAGTGAATCAAGTAAGCCACTCTTCCAACCATCAGTTGGAAACAAATAAACTGATAAAATTGGCACTTATTCATCTCCTTTCACTGTGCAGGAAATTAAGAATTCACTATCTCAGTTGAACCATATTCCATCAACACTTTTCCTGTCGGAAGTTCCGTACATTGAGTTTTTAGACAGGGTTCACATTTCCGAGATCAAACTCAGGTCAAAAGGCTTGTGGGAAGTTCCACATCCATGGCTGAATCTTCTTATACCTAGAAGTAAAGTCCACAATTTTGCTCAAGAAGTCTTTGGCAATATCCTGACGGATACAAGCAATGGCCCCATCCTCATCTACCCCGTTAACAAATCAAAGTAAAAATTTCACCCGAAATGAGTAATTCATCTCTTAAGATTCATGAGTTTCTTAGATTGATGGAGTATTATTAATCTTGATTACAGGTGGGACAATAGAACCTCTGTTGTTATACCAGAAGAAGATGTCTTCTATTTAGTGGCATTCCTTTCTTCCGCGGTTCCTTCCTCGACAGGAACTGACGGCTTAGACCACATCTTAATTCAGAACAAAAGAATATTAGAATTTTGTGAGATAGCTCGTCTTGGGGTCAAGCAATACCTTCCCCACTATTCTACACAGGAAGAATGGCAAGCCCATTTTGGCCCACAGTGGGAAGTTTTCGTCCAGAGAAAATCCACTTACGACCCTTTGGCATTGCTTGCTCCTGGCCAAAGAATATTCCAAAAGCCAATAGCTTACTCGTGATAGCATCCATGTTATAAATAGTAACTTTTTTTTTTCTCAAAGAAAAAGGAGATGCAGTGCAGCATGCAGGAAAATGTTTTAGCAGCATACACTGTAAATTGATACTACTCAGGTCCAGGTGCCTCTTAAATATTGTAATGTACAATGAGGAGGCTTAAGGCTAGTTGAAAATTTTTTTTCAACCAAAAAGGTCAACAATATCATATGCTAAGTATTGGCTAGAGTTGTAAAAGGCACTGGACAAAAATCAGTGCCCTAAAGGGATTATGTAAATACTGAATTTGCTTGTTAGCTGCTAATTATTTTCTCTACAAAGTCCAATTGCTTTAACAGTTTCAATACAAAATTTCCACAATGAAGGGAACAGCAGATTTCGATTAGGGTGGAGTGAAAAAAAGGTTTTCAGATTAATGGTTTTTGGTTTCCTACTAAACAAAGTCAAGTAAAATACTAAATTTAACATGGACATACCTCCAAACGGGGAAACATTGCACCTGCTGCAGCATCTAAATTGCTTTCATTGGTACCATTCCATGCCAAACTGTACTGTGATGAATGCACAAGGGTAATTTGTTTCTGGTTCAGCATCAACAAGTTTCAAATCATGGCATAAAGCCATTTGCAAGCAGCTAGGTTCTAAAGCCTGAATTGAGGCTAGACCATCAGAGCCTGCAGCCTTTCTTCTCCCAAGCCGGGATGCTATAATCTGGTGCATTCTCCCCTGTTCTTCTACGTTCTATGCCGAGTTTCAGTCTTTTGATCATGGGAGCCCTATCAAAAAATAAATTTCTTATTTTACTTCAGTCTATTACATGCTGTTATAATTCCTTACAGTGAGCAATCAAGGAAAAAGATGTCTAAAGTGAAGCAAGGCCTAGAATTAGCACAATATACAAAGTGGAGAAGACATAAAGATTTCCAAAATAGAAGATTCTGTCAGTTAAAATTTTATTAGTCAAGTATACGTATCGAATAGACAATATATTAACAAAGTATCGATCTTACATAGAATTGATCTAAAAGTTTACTAAGTATTAAAATTATAGCAAATTAATCTTATCCAAACAATCAATATCAAATAACCAAATTAATTAACTAAAAACACTTAACCAAAATTTAAGCTAAGAAAAATCAAAATAATAAATATTCAAGTAAATATCAAATCAAACAAGCTTAGGATTACAATATCCCTCACATTTCATCTAAATCTTACCTCTCTTCCTTAACTTATTTCAATGGGTTGAATTGCTAACATAAAGTCTTAATTTATTTATAAGGGTCCCTCGACTCATCTTATAAAAATATTTATTTTAATTAAAACACTATATCTCTATATGAATTGAAATTAAAATAGACTCATTAAGTTCTTACTTTAATCTGACTACATATGGCCTACATGTATATCTTTATCTTATACGCAAATCAATTAATATGATCATATGCTATCCCAAATTTACTCTACATTAAACTCCATTTTCTAATTTTGTTTAGATTCCTTAATCAATTTAATTGATGGCCAAGCAATTAAATGTATTAAGAACAAATTGGAATAAAAAATTCGAATCCCATTGAAGATAAGTAAGAAAGAAATTAAAAATTTAGATTCCATGTGATAACCCTATTATATAGAGTTATTTTAACCTATTTTTGGGCTTAAGTAGTTAGATCTTTGAGATTTTAGGTTCGAATTTTAGTACTTTAGGTGTTTTTTTAGTTTAAGTTTGATTACTTGTTAAATGATTAATTTAAGTTATTTTAGTTAAATTTTATGTTGTTTTGTTTTAAATTACTTTAAGAGTAGTTATTGCTCATTTCTCTTATGGCTTTTGTAGGAAATTGATGATAAAGGTTTATTTGATGAAAATTAGTGCAAGTATGATGATAGCTTTATTCATATATGTTTCGGTATTTTGACCATATCTCTCTCTACAAAACTCTAAATGAGGTGATTCTTAGACCACCAAAATTTTAAGAAGAAGGGCTACAATGTTTATGTTTACTAATTTACCCAGTTCTAGCTGTATCATGGTCAAAATATTTGTTAAAGTCGGAGCACTGTAGCAGTATGCAATGACTAAACATGATGCGGTATTTGGAGTATATCTTTCAATCCAGAAGTCCAATTGACTGAACAAAAATTGACCAGCAAAAACCAAGTCTTGTATAAGAGATTTGACAGCAAAAAAATAGGCAAAAGACCACAACGAGGCAGAGGGAAAAGTAAGAGAAGGGAACATAACCATTGTGAGTCTTTCATCCTCCTCCAGGTCGTAGGCTTTTTTAGAGCATAGCAACCCAAGAAAGCTATCCGTCACAGAGGCATGCATTAAAACCCAGCAACAAGAAGTAGTAGACAAAGAGAGGCCACTATCCAAAACAGTTAAAATTAGACTAAAATTAGAATAGCATATGATCATATTACTTTATTTACGTATAAGATAGGGATATACCTATAGACTATATGTAACTAGATTAGAGTATGAACTTAATGAATTTATTTTAATTTCAATTTACATAGGGATATAGTGTTTTGGTTAAAATAAATATTTTTATAAGATGAGTCGGAAGACCCTTATAAATAATTTAGGACTCTAGGCTTGTTTGATTTGATATTTATTTGAGTATTTATTATTTTGATATTTCTTAGTTTAAATTTACTATAACTTAGTTTGATTTGATATTGTTTGGATAAGATTAATTAGCTATAATTTTAGTACTTAATAAACTTTTAGATCAATTCCTTGTGTGATCAATACTTTATTTGTTAATATACTATCTATTCAATACGTATACTTACATAGTAAAATTTTAACTGATAACATGTGAGTTCAATTGCAATCTTAGAAAAATAAATTAGCTTATAATATCCAATAAAGACAATATTCAAAGAAATTTAACCATAAATCTAAATAAAAATAATAATAATAACACAAAAGTAAGAGAGAAAAATAGGAGTTAGAGCTTTGTGATCTAGATTCTCCTTCTAATTCTCTTGTTTTCTTGCTTTGTTTTTGGTTTCAAATCTCCAAAATAGTTGCTTGATGCCTCTCTTTTAGAATCTTTGAAAAAAAATCCCTTAAATAGGCTCCAAAAGACCTAATTTTTAAAATCCTATTAACTTTTTTTATTTTTAAAAAATTACCCAGCGCTGTGGTGCTACTTCTCCAACACTGCAGCACTGAGCTTTCTGGAAATTTATATATGTGCTTCCATTTATCAACTTTGTAGCTTTGTTCTCTCAGCTCCATGGCAATCTATCAATTTGAAACATAGGTTTCACCCTGATCTGAACTGGATAAAGTGATAAACATAGAAGTTTTACCCTTATCTCTTAACTTTCCATTGAATTAAGAATCACAGCAATTGAACTTCTGGATTGAAAGATATGCTCTAAATACCGCATCATGCTCAATCCATGCATACTACTACAGTGCTCCGAATTTGATAAATATTTTCACCATTATACAGTCAGAACCAGGTGAATTGGTAAGCATAAACATTGTAACTCTTCTTCTTATAATTCTATTGATCTAAGAATCACCTCATTTGGAGTTTTGCAGAAAGAGATATAGTCAAAATATCAAAATATATACGTATAAAATTATCATCATACTTGTATTGATTTTCATCAATTTTCTACAAAACCATAAGAGAAATTAATAATAACTATTTTTAAAGTAATTTAAAATAAAACAACATAAAATTTAACTAAAATAACTTAAATTGATCAATTAATAAATAATTAAACTAAAATTAAAAAAATACCTAAAATATTAAAATATGAATATAAAATTTTTAAAATTTAATTATTTAAACTTTAAAATATATCAAAATAACTTTATATAATAGAGTTATCAAATTCTCTAATAATTCATGCTTTCTCCTTGTCTTCAATAGAACATGCAAGCGTCTCATGGAGTATTCTGATTTGTTTGATCTTCATTTCTCCGAAATTAGACAAGCTCGACCTGAATGGCTTTTGCTCTTAGGAAAAACTGGATAATTAGGGATCAACGGACAATTATGAGTCTAAATGGATCTTTTCGGTTTCATCAAACTTTATCAATTTCACATCAGCCAAAAAAGGAAAAGATGTGTGGATAAAGTGGCTAAAAAGGAGAATATTTTGCTGTTTAGGAGATTCTGGCATCTGTATGTCAGAGGCATCGTGGCAATGGTTGCCACAGTTGATTCTCTATCCAATCACTCCACTGTACATTTTTTAAGTGAAAAGTTTAGTGACAAACATGGCCGCCTCCATGATTTTTGAAATGCAATGGTTCAGAATATCCGCCTCCATTCCTGAAACCACTCAAAAACACCAGAGAAACTTGGAACACAACAGTGACAACATAATAAAGCAAAGCTGCAGTTTCCCATGGAACATTAAGGTCCGTTGGCGGAGAATATTCGGAAGAAAAGGGGCTGACTGCAAAGGGTATGCATGTGACTGGCGCTGGTAGATTTAAAGAAAGACTTCAAGTCATTCACACTGCCATTGATGCTATATTACCGTTCAGAAAATAGAGAAAGTCCTTTCCAAACTCACGAAATGAAAGAAGTAGTAGAGAAATTAGTCCAAAGAATTTAGGATGTATTAAGGTTTCCATCATGCCAGAAATGTACATTTACTTGCATGGCATTCAACCCATAAATCGGTGACTTTATGAGTCAAGTTCAAACTAGAGAGATATCAAGTAAGCATACCTTAGTATATAATTATCCTGCTTAAAGACGTTGCTGACTCTGATATTGCTTTTCTTGCGACAGTCCCGCTTCTGAAAAATCTAGTTTGAAGGGGAGCAAGAATCATTTACAATCAAAATCACTGCGATCAAACATTTCATTAGTGCTAGATTGACGACTACAGCAATGATAAGTGATAACCATGGAACTGGAAATACAACTCATGATGAGATTCTAAGACACAAAAAAGTAAGTCTAGTTGTCACAACTTGATCAGAACCAAAGAATTAGGTCAAGGAGCAAAGATTGCTCCATGAAGGACATGTCACAATCAGTTAGTCAGTGGAATGCGAGCGGGTAGAGTGATGAGCATAGCATGTAAAGTTGGTCTACACACAGACAGTTGTGTAAGGCCCAGCTTCCAATGATTATCGATAGGATGATACCTTGCATTCAGATTCAAATTAATCGACAACTAAATACAGTGACACACTGTGTATTTCGTTATAAGATTTATGAATGCACAAGTTGCAGTAATCGCAAATTCATAGAAATATCAAAGATGCAACTTGTGCATTCATCAGCCTATTATAATTGAACTGTTA